ATTGGAAAACTCGACGTCTCCGATCCAGTAAGCTTGTTGTTTTCTTTCAATTGGACTTTTCAGAAAGAACTAAAGTTCCTGACTTAATAACTGTTTTGTTGAATTGTAGAAAAAAACTATATTAACAATTAAGCTTAACTAAGCCCCTCTTGCGCGGCTGCGTCCGCGCCCCTCGAAGAGGGGCTTACACCGGACTCGTGTTTTTTGGCGGGTGAGCTCCAAAAGTTAAGTCCTCTTACGTTGTTTTTTGGACTTCCACTCAAACCCTCACCGTAGAATTTTGTGACCTTCGAGTATGTTTATCTTCATGAGATGCTACACATTCTTGTACCACTTTTATCCACCACTCAGCTCTGTGACGCTTTCAGGGGAAGTTGCCAGATTGGATTGTTATGTCCTCCTGTAACAGCTTAAGAGGGCCTGTACAGGCCTTCCACAAGATTTGGAATTTTTGTGCTCGCCTCAAGCTTATGACAAAATGGAAAAAACTACTTTTCTGACACAATAAAACTTACAGCCTTTTCGGCGAAAACTCGCAGCTACACGTCTCATCAAACTTGCAACACTTTTTGCAAACCTTTGCTTTGAACAAAAACATATAAAAGTTGTACAAGAATGTGTAGCATCTCATGAAGATAAACATACTCGAAGGTCACAAAATTCTACGGTGAGGGTTTGAGTGGAAGTCCAAAAAACAACGTAAGAGGACTTAACTTTTGGAGCTCACCCGCCAAAAAACACGAGTCCGGTGTAAGCCCCTCTTCGAGGGGCGCGGACGCAGCCGCGCGAGAGGGGCTTAATTAAGCTTAATTAACAATCGGTAATAAACAGCTCGAAGGCCAGATTGTTGAATTTGGTTCGCCACTGGCTTTACTTCGTAAAATCAAACTCGGAGCTTTACCCTTGCATTCTGATAGCAAGACCCAATTAGACATCATAGCCCTTGTGAACCGCAAAATTGTCTTTTCCAAACGACCACATCCGATAGTCAAAATGGAATGAAATAGACTCATGACTTTGAACACTCTCATCTGGAGTCCATGTAATGCAAATCATGCTATAAGTGACCTTCAGAGAATGTTCAACGCACAAATCTGCTCCCTGATCCCTGCTCCCTAGCTCATAAAATGGTTTTCTCAAAGGGAGTTGTCATACTTTATAGCGCTTTGATATAACGTGCTTGAATTTTGTTCCGTTTCAGAACAAAGTCAAACAATGCAAAGACTGGTGTAGAGCATTATAATGAAGATGTCAATGCATATCTCTCTCATGAGTAATCTTTTTCACACATTGTTATCAGTCATTTTTTGGGGCCTCTTGTTCTCTCTGGCAATATGTTGTTAAATCGAGTTTATCACGGTAAAGTTTATTGTTCAGTATAAGAAAAAAGTAAGTTTTTTTTGGTGATAGTCATGCATTGAAAAGTATAGCAGTAAAAATTCAAATAGAACACTGATTTAATGAAATGAGTGATCTTAAAGTTGTACACAAATATAGTTTTCACTTCAGTATCATCCGACCATTTTTGACCGGGTCCTCATTTATGATGAGATATCAGGTACATAGTAATACACAAATGGGGTTATTCAATAGGTACAAAGGCTATATAGGATTGATTTGAGGAAGCTGACTACAGAAGCTGGAGCCTCATGATAATCAGAAACATGTACCCCGGATTAATCCATAATCCCACGACTTCGTTTCCAGATGGGTTGATATGTGTTCTTTTGATACACTCAGGACAAGTGCAAAGCACTAGCTTTGCCAAGCTCGAATGCACAGAGGTTTGATGAAAACTTGATGATTGAAGAGATGATTAATTGATTTATGTACTAAAGTTGAGTATCAATAGGATCGATCGTCAATTGAAGTCGTTTGGCGAGTGGATTTGATTATGGATTCGAATTCAGTATTGATTGGAGGTGTTTGTTGATCCGTCTTGAGATACAAAGGAGGAAGGCAATGAGGTGAGATGAAGAGGGAACGATGGTGGCTTTTGCGCGGTTGTACGTTGAAGAGGAGGTGAGAGGATGTGAGAGGATGTGAGGCGAGGTGACACTACACGTAGCTGTGCCGTGCCGCATCTGGTGACACTCCAGATGTTACACCCGCAGCACCCAGTGACACTTCATGTGAAGCTGCGGCCCCGCCCCGGAGCGTCCGCATGACGCTACATAGGGAGCGTCGCCGCCTTGCCCGGGGTGAAAGTCTCTGAACCAGATACTTCTAACGTGACTCTGCATCGTTAGAAGCTCATCCTTTCATCTATCGATCTTTTTTTTGCCCTTGCAGACTCCAGAGATTTACTAATAAATCTTAAATATATAATCAATTTATCAATGCAAGCAAATTAGGTTAGGATTAGGGTTACTCCACCATATCCTCACCAAATCACCCGGCATCAATTCACATCACCAATTCCACCGGAACACCAAAAAGTTAAAACAAAGTTACAAAGTTTGAACATCTCATTCTGAAATCAAGATCTTCAAAAATTTACCTTAAAGTCATTCTTCGTCAACCAATTAGAAGAAACTTACAGAGTTAGTTCACTGTTCCTTTCTTACCAGTTTGTAGTGATTAATATTATCGATTCTTGATGATGATTGATCACTTTTCCTTATTACGTGTCTTTTCCTTATTACTCGAAATGATTATATATCTTTTTTTTCTTTTTTTAATGATCCTACTCTTACTGATTACCTTTATCGCTCTTCGATTAGTTTTAAATATGTCTCAAATCGACACTAGCAATGTTTCTTCACAAGCGACCACTGTTGATTTAACATCTGAACCGGATACTGCTCATACCGCGAATTCAGATGCTTTAGCTGCAGCTCTTCGTCCAGCGAGCTATGTCTGGATTCATTTTGTCAAGCTCCGAAATTGTCAAGTCAAGATGCGGTTTCCAGCCAGTGATTTTTGTCATTTCTCTTTTTTTTATTTTCATTTTTTCCTTCCGGACTGCTATTATGATTTATCTACTATACATGATAGATGAAAGATTTATATCCCCTGAAAATTATATCCCCTGAAATGCAACTATCCGCCGGGTAACCCGGTGGAACTTAGGTTTTCCAACTCCCTCGCCCGGACCCTGACTCGCGGGGATCCCCGACCATCAGAGATCTCCAGACCCTCGCCCGAAGACCGGACCGATCGGGGACCCCGTCGGGGCCCCGAGCGGGGACCTCTTTCGGGGCTCGGGCTGACTTCTCACCGCACAAAACATAAGAAGACAGCTACGATCTTAGGAAGAAATATGTATACGTGTGTGGCGTTACTTTTCCGGCGCGTTGCTCCACATGCCGGAGGGATTTACCCTTGATGAACCGAATCGGTGCTCAAGCCTAGTCCTGAAACAGGGTGCGTTTATGAAGTTTATCGTGCCAAACATCATACAACATATATAAATGAGAATCGAGTCCAAGGATCTCTGATACGCTAACTCACCGATTATCTCAAACCTCACTCGCTGTGAATTCTTGCCAGTTAACTTGTCTGAATTGAAGTTTGACGACTTGCATACTCAGATCAAATGCTTAGGGCCCGTTCGGTAGGAATCGATATATGTATATTGCAATATATTACACCAAAGGAATATACAGTATATTGGCATAATCCGGTTTTCAAAAAAGAGTCGGTGTGCGGTAGATTTATTTGGACAAAAATCAAAATCATATATGGTGATATACTGCTCAATTTCAATATACAGCCCTTTGGCCGTATATCAGAGCGAAAAACTCTTTTTGCCCCTCTTCCTTTTCCATACCCTCCTCTCTCGATCTCTCTCCTTCACCCTTCCTTTTCGATCACCTTCCCTTTTGATCACCTTTCTTTTTCTATCACCATACTGATCCCTTCACCTCTTTTATTCACATTTTCAACCGGCCTTCGCCTTCGCACCTCTTTTTCTACTTATCGCTTCTCAATCTTTCTTCCATATCTAGTTAGTTTTCTCGTCTTCAATTCCACTATCATGAATACCCAGAAACCATCAAGACCGAAGGCTCCTAGAGCCATCCGCCCTTCAGTTCCCATAGTTCCCATAGCCCATCAACCTTCTACACCAACACCAAACTCAATCGACGTAACTTTGAGCAAACAAACACCAGCCAAGACCTCGAACCTTCGTGTCAAGTGGGATGAGAACGATGATCAAACCATGATCGACGTTCTCACCGCTGATTGTCAGCCTGCCAATGCAGCCATCGGACCCGAGAACGCGACCTGTGCCCAAGGTTGGAAGAGGCCCACCTGGATGAAAGTGGTCAAGGCCCTTGCTGGAAGCGAGATCAAGATGGTCAATGGTGTACGTCAAGTCAGTAACGCGAAATCGGTCGAGAACTGCAAGTCCCACTGGTATGTGGTAAGTAGGTTTTTTTTCACCTATGATGATTTCATCATTGTTAACTCGTTTTTGTATTACAGTTATGTGGCCTTTATGATAATTACAAGAACCTCAACGGGCTCAGTGGCGCTGGATGGGAGAATGGGTGTATCACGTTACCTGACGCGGTCTGGGAACCCATTCTCGCAATCCTGAGGTAAGTTTCTTTTTGTATCATTCTTTTGTTGTTCTTTCATTTTATTTCCATTTTATTGACTGCCTATCCTGGCCTTACAGTCCAAGAAGTCCAAGGCCCTCTTACAATGCCAAGGCCGACCGTTCCCGATTTTTCACTTGCTCGCTCCGTTGTTGGAAGGTCACAAAGCAACCGGAAAATACGTGGCCAGTGCGATTGTCAACGAACCTACCGAAGAACCCCTTGCTACGCCTTCAAACACTGCAATCGATAAGGATCATGAAGAACCCTGCGGCTCGCCTTCCCCTCTCCCATCTGCCTTTGCCTCGCCTTGCTCCTCTCCACCCCCTGCTGACCGATTCATACCTCCGGCTGAATCGGTGGCTATGGATGACTCAAGCTCGGATGAGACCACCTCTAAGAAAAGGCACCGCACTTCGAAGGCTGCCCTCGCTGCACGTGCTCCAATCAAAAAGAAGAAACGATCTGGAGTTGATATCATGGACAACCTTTCGAGCACTATGCAAGGCTTTGGATCGACCATCGAGGCCTCCATCACCTCGACTTCAGCTAACATCGACAATGCTGCCCGATTACTTACTGAACCTGTTTCATCTCATGCTCAAGCAGTCAAGCTTGTTTATGAATCTGATATGAATCGCTCTCAACGATATGCTGCTGTAGGTATGTTTGGTGAGAAGCCATTGATGGCTGAGACTTATCTCAACACCCCAGCTGCTGAACGGGATGATTGGCTTGAATACATCCTCAACAAACAAGGTGAGTTTTCTATATCTCATCATCTATTACATACCAACTGACTCCTTTTTTCTATGTTGTTTCTTGCTCTCAACCATTCACATTCAAGATGAAGGATCAACTGCCTGATTCAAATAAATTTTTAACCAATTCATTTCTAAATATAGTCTGATCTTAAATCAAAATCATTAAACCTTTAAATAAAAAAAAGTGACTGTAAGATCTTAAATCAAAATGAGTAAACCTTTAAATAAAAATAAAAGTGACTGTCTGATCTTAAATAAAATTATTAAACCTTGAAATAAAAAAATAGTGACTGTCTCATCTTGAATAAAATTATTAAACCTTCAAAACATTTGTTGTTAACTACATTTGTATATATATATACTGATACAGATGTAGTAGTGGCTGTGCCTGTCTGAATTGTTAGTGACTGCAATGTTATCCCAATGTTATCCAGTGTCAGTGTTATTGTGACTAAGAGATGCTTTGATCTTCAATTGAGAGGAACTTTTATTGAACAAAAAAAAATGAAAACATTGATTAATAAATGTTTAATCAAAATAACTTCTACAGGCACTTGAAGTTTGCAAAATAAATATGGTTGGATTGAGAGTTGTAAGATAAGAATGAAAGTAGCTACATACTTTTCAAATATCAGGATACATAAGAGGTAGTCCATGTCTTTGTTTACTTCGATTTACTTTTCTTCTTCTTTCAAGTTCTACTAAGTAATCCCTCCACATGTCTTCCGCGATTTGGTCTCTGAGACGTTTAGCGTAGGTATTACCTTTGGCAGTGCTACCAAACGCTACCAGAGTGCCAATTTCGTCTTGAGTTATGGCCTCTGTTGCATCTTGAGGATCGGGCATAAATTCTTCACCAAATTCGGGAAATTCTTCAGCTGAACCTTTGGGATCTTTAACTCGAATGAAGTTGTGGATAAAGCACATGACAGTAACCATTGCAATTTGTACCTCAATCGTATAATCACACCCATGTGCCATGAATTCAAAGCGCTTCTTGCAAACTCCAAAGATGCGCTCGATGATGTTGCGTGCGCTAGCGTGCCGCAGGTTGAACAACTCTTCTTTATTGGCAGGTCTACAAATGAATGAAAGGAGTGTTGAGAAAAATCAAAACACAGAAAAGCATGCAAATGATGAAAGAAAAAATCAATCTCACTTGAAACCTTTTTTTTCCCACTCTCGTAAATGATAACGCACTTTTCGATAAGGAACAAGACAATCCTTGGTGAGAGCAAAGCCAGCGTCACCAAGATAATACTTTCCAGCTGGAATTGTAAGATCACGACTTCAAGCCAAAGTCCAAAGAGCCCCGTCGGCCATACTTCCTTCAGCTCCAACCAATAAATAAATAAACTCCATGTTGAAATTACATGCAGCAAGGACATTTTGAGATGTGTAGCCTTTACGATTGGAGAAAGGAATGAACTCTAAAGCTGGCGGAGTGACCGGAATGTGTGTACCATCAATTGCACCAATACAGTCTTTGAAATAAGGCATGAACTTTGGATTCTCAGAAAACGTATCCGAGAGAGGTGTGTTGGCATTGGGAAGAGCAATATATTTGCTCAGTAATTTTCTGTGGCTCGAGATTCCTTTAACAAGGTGATTGATTGTCCTAGTCGAAATAAGACATGTCAGAAAGCGTGATGAGAAAATGCCAAAAAAAAAAATCACTTTGAAATAGTATCAGCTGATCTTTGGAAACGGTTCTGAATTTTACAATTTGACAGGCCAGTGATGACAGTATAAAGCAAAAGTGCCAACTTTTCCGTTATGGTGACCCAACGGGACTCGCACAAGATTCCCAAGTCTTCAAGAACAGAGCGTAGTTCGAAAAAGACATGTTTACGCATTCCGAGATTTTCATAAAAAACTGATTCATTTGGATGATGAATGAGCTCATCAATCCACATCTGACCACTGAGTACGGATGTGAGTCGTGGAGTTTTGGTTAGATTAGGCAACATCTGCAACATACAGGCCTGTACACCTGAGCTGAAGTAAGAAAAAAGTTGGAATTGGTTTTGTTGAACTGCAAGGAGTTGTTTTAAAAATTGGAGTTTAACAATTTTTCTATGTTTAGCACGGTGTTCAGCTCTGATAGCGCGCACTCGAGAAATCTGCTCCATGTTGTATCAAGATATGTGATTTGAAAGAGACAGAATGGCCAAAGAACTCTTTACGTGGTTGATGACCACGATGAGTGAGTTTTATTTGATTGAGTTAAAAATTTCAAGTGAAACCACCACAGTGAATGGTTTATAAAAATGCTCTAAGAATTTTAAAGATGAGAAAAAGGGTGGAAAAGATTGAAAGATGAGTGGTTGAGGTTGTCAGGATGGATTCGAGAACGAATCGAGCGTTCTCAAAATCCATCGAGTTGTTTCCAAGTTTCACGTCAATCGATTTCAATATACTATTTCATCGAACGGTTGTCAAACACTCAAACGATGATCAAAAGTTCAACGACGATCATCTTGATCTTTTATTGACGATTTTGATAGAGTGTTCGGCAAATGTCATCTCATCTCATTACCAAAAAAACGGTATTTCAATCTGCCCCTTGATATAGGGGCAGAACGATATACCGTTTTTTGGTAACTGTATATCGATTCCGCTACCAAACGGGCCCTTAACGTCTACCCCAAGATTTTCTTTTTACTCCTTTCCCTATGGGTTGATAATCTGAATGCAATCCGATCATATGTTCCGTGTGTTAAAGGATTTATACGTAACACAGACACAAATGCAGGTAAGTGGTTTCCAACCTCAATTCATCCTGTCTTGTCACTTCAGCAAAAGCTGACTGACCAGGAAGTTGTGATGGCTCATATCGAAAGTGTGCGCTGTGAGTTTTACACTTCCACCTTATAAATCACAGTATGACTGCGTATATACAAGTTGCTCCTATAATCCCAATGGTAAGTACCTCAGACCACATTCTTGATTTTCCTTCTTATACAAATCAACCTGTAAAGCTGATCAACAAAGAGATTTGAATATAATTAGGTACCAAATGGGTTCCGATGTCGAATTGTCAATTGATAGGATCAAAAGACAAAGGTGTTAGTAATCAAAAATGTATAATGTATGATTACAACGAAAAACTTGAAAACTTTGGTCAGTCTATTGACCTCTTTTTTTTATTTGTAAGATTTACTTGATAAACTAACTTGATTTGAGATTTCTTGATGGGTCAAATAGCTTGTACTAACGCCGCTGGAAAATCTTATGCTTGTCCTTATACACCTCAAACTGTACCAGCCATGGGTCAGTTAAAGTTATAATGGATCATCTTATTTATTGATCGATCAAAAATCTTGTTGAAACTGAAATAAGTTGATTTCTTTTGTAGTATGCACGGACTGTAATCTTTATCACCAAAAATGATGATCAATCGACTCGGACTCTGATGTTTGGGTGATGAAATATATTGTAACTTATTCCTTGGTTCAGACATTTTTCTTTGGCTTTGCCTAACTTCAACCTTCACCGTGAGTAGAAATTGCATCATCAACAGAAATTTCTATACATAACTACAGAAAGAGACTACCAGAGGATTTAGGACAAGTCGCATTTAGCCTTTGAAGACTCTAGTCTATAGTCTTCACTATCATACACGGTCACCATGAGATTCTTCTGTGCTAAAAGAATGATGAAGAAAAGTCCAAAAGTCTAGTCCAAAGTGACTTGCTTACCTATGTGCAATCACATTGGATATAAGAAAGAAAGAAACACTTTGGCTTACAAGCTCTGCATGTTGATACAAAGAATTGTGGGGCCCCTGGAGTCTGAGTGTTTTGAATGAATTAAAGATGAATTTAAGAGTTTATTTTGTACAATCCATTCGCGTTGAATTGTATTACTTTTGCTAAAAAGCTTGGCCCGATTGAGAAAAAATAAAACAGAATGTAGACCCAGAATCCGCCGCAGCAGTCACAACGCAGCAGAGAGAAAAAATTTTGGGGTGCTGGGGGCTGTGGAGTGAGCTCTCTTCCATCCCATTGATTTCCCAGCTGCCGCCAAAAAACCATATTCTCGAAATCCCGGTCGATCACTTCCTTTTCGTCACTAAACTCAACTACGACACTCGCTGCTTCTCGCATCCTGGAAACGTGTCCATCCATGGTGGACAATTGATTGATGATCTTTGTAAGAAATAAGGTACACTTTATCACTTCAATTCCTCCCATTTCTCCGTTTGGTGCATTTCATTCAACTTACTGATTATCCCCAATATCATCTCTAGGTATCCTTCTCCCATACTTACCCATACAGTCCCGAGTTGAACACTGTCAAGTTTGGAGTCAATGTGTCGAACTTTGGTGTTTGGAGATCACAAGTTGTAGTCAATAGGTCAAATCCGCTCGAACGGATCATCTGTTGTGTGAAACTTTTTAAATGGTTCCTCCTATGTTGATAACGAGCATTTGTTAACAAATGAACTTAAGGAATGTTGTTGAAGCTTTTATGGAGCTCACAACTACTGTGCTAATCCAAGAAAAAGGGCAAGTGGAATGAGATGTATCTTACATATCATCAACCTATCCAGTGCCGAGCTCTGATGCATAACAAAAGTCTGAGATTGAATATCCTATGAAAGATATTTGAAGTGTGTGCCAGTTTTCAAGGTGATTGAGATTATCAATATCATTGACTGGTTATGAACAATATCAAAACCAGTCAATTCTCGATCAAGAATCTCCTATGACTCACGAAACAGTCCTATGATCAATGGTCTATGAACGAGATTGATCTCTGTTTTCTTGAAGAGATTCAAAATCCAAACATCAACTGCTTTTGATCGGTAAAAACCAATCAACCATCCTTTGTTCCTATGGAAGAGATGTGGACAATCTCAGGTCTCTTATGTAATCTAGAGACCATCTT